GAATGATCTCATGTTCAATCTTTGTGATTTGGGCTACTTGGATTCTTGCATTTCACTTACACACTAGTAGGGGATGCTCCGATTCTTCTATGAATGATCTTATGCTCATTACTGGTGATTGGGACTAGTGTAGAGCTTGCTTTTCACTCACGTGCTACTAGGGGATGCTTCGATTCTTCTATGAGTGATCTCATGTTCAATCTTTGTGATTTGGGCTTACTTGGACTCTTGCAGTTCACTCACACACTAGTAGGAGATGTTCCGATTCTTCTATGAATGATCTCATGTTAAATCTTTGTGATTTGGACTAGTGTAGATCTTGCTTTTCACTCACATGCTGGTAGGAGATCCTCCGATTCTTCCATGGATGATCTCTTGCTCAAATCTTGTGATATAGCCTAGTGTAACTCTTGCATTTCACTCACACACTAGTATGATGATGTTCCGATTCTTTCATGAATGATCTCATGCTCATTACTTGTGACTTGGACCAGTGTAGATCTTGCTTTTCACTCACATGCTAGTAGGAGATGCTCTGATTCTTTCATGGATGATCTCATGCTCATTATTGGTGATTTGGACTAGTGTAGGTCTTGCTTTTCACTCACATGCTACAAGGAGATCCTCTGATTCTTCCATGAATGATCTCTTGCTCAAATCTTGTGATATAGCCTAGTGTAACTCTTGCATTTCTCTCACATGCTAGTAGGAGATGTTCCGATTCTTCTATGAATGATGTCATGACTAATCCTTGTGATTTGGGCTACCTCAACTCTTGCTTTTTGCCCCCATGCTAGTAGGTGATGCTCCGATTCTCCTATGGATGATCTCGGGCTCAACACTTGCAATTTGGTCTAGTACAAGTCTTGATTCTCACCCATATGCTAGTAGGAAATTATCTGATTCTTCCATAAGTGATTTTGTGCTCAAGACTTGTGTTTTGGGACTAGTCTAGCTTGTGCCTTCCACTCACATGGTAGATCATGACATTTCATTTCAAACTTGGTTGCATGCCTGAGCTATGGGCATGTGTTTGAGCAAGTCTCACTCACACACATGGCTCAACTCCCACATGATGGCAGTCTATTTCAAACTTGGTTGCATACGTGAGCCATGAGCATGTGTTTGAGCAAGTCTCACTCACGTACATGGCTCAACACTCGCATGATGATGTTCCGATTCATACTTAGTTGATCTCTCCTTCATGTGTATGTGCTTTTCACTAGTTCTAGCTTCTCATTGTCAAGTTCGTGTATGTTGTGATGTTCCGGTTCATACTTAGTTGATCTCTCCTCTATGTGCATGTGTTCTTCACTAGTTCTAGCGTCACATTGTCGAGTTAATGTGTGTTGTGATGTTCCGGTTCATACTTAGTTGAACTCTCCTCTATGCGCATGAGCTTTCCACTAGTTCTAGTTTCTCATTGTCAAGTTCGTGTATGTTGTGATGTTCCGGTTCATACTTAGTTGATCTTTCCTCCATGTGCATGTGTCCATCACTAGTTCTAGCTTCNATTGTCAAGTTCGTGTATGTTGTGATGTTCCGGTTCATACTTAGTTGATCTTTCCTCCATGTGCATGTGTCCATCACTAGTTCTAGCTTCTCATTGTCAAGTTCGTGTATGTTGTGTTTTTCCGGTTCATACTTAGTCGATCTTTCCTCCATGTGCATGTGCTTTCCACTAGTTCTAGCTTCTTCAAAGTTCATGTGTGTTGTGATATTCCGGTTCGTGCTTATTTTATCTTTCCTCCGTGTGCATGTGTCCTTCACTAGTTCAAAGTTTTCCATTGTCAAATTCATGTATGTTGAGATGTTCCGGTTCATATTTAGTTGATCTTTCCTCCATGTGCATATGTCCATCACTAGTCTAGCTTCTCATTGTCGAGTTCATATGTGTTGTAATGATCCGGTTCATACTTATTCGATCTTTCCTCCATGTGCATATGTCCTTCGCTAGTTCAAGTTTCTCATCATTAAGTTCATGTATGTTGTGATATTCCGTTCCATGCTTAGTTGATCTCTCCTCTATGTGTATATGCCTTCCACTAGTTCTAGCTTCTCATTGTCAAGTTCATGTATGTTGTGATGTTCCAGTTCATGCTTAGTTGCTCTCTCCTCTATGTGTATGCGCCTTTCACTAGTTCTAGCTTCTCATTGGCAAGTTCATATGTGTTGTGATGTTCCGGTTCATGCTTAATTGACCTTTCACTATGGGATGGGTGACCGACATTTGGCTGCTACAACTTGATTAGGATTAGAAATCTTCTCTCTCTCTCTCTCTCTCTCTCTCTCTCTCTCTCTCTCTCTCTCTCTCTCTTTTCTCTCTCTCTCCCTCTCCCACTCATTCTCTCTCTCTCCCTCTTCACCTTGCCCTCTCTCTCTCTCCTCCGCTCACTTTGCATACGACTAACCTTTCTCCCCTCACTTGTCACATTGCCAGGGTGCGAACGGTAAAAAGACATCAGACCTCACTTGGTGGAGAGAGAGGGCAAGGGAAGGGTAGCCGGTCCCTTGTGCCACCAAGAAGGCAAAGGAAAAGGACGCTTGGAAAAGTGGGAAAGGGCAGAATCCGAAGAAAATATAAGTTGAAGCAAGGTCAGTTTGACTCAACCATTTCCCCGACTGCATGACTATGAGGAGAGGATGGGCTGATTGAGCAAAGAAAGGGAATAAAGAGCAGCCAAAGAGCATGGAGAGATAGGCATGTGGGGAGGGCTATGTGTTGACCCCCAACGGGGGATTGTATGGATCTTTGCTTTGTGTGGGATTGTGCAGGTAAGTGAGGGCTAAGGATGCCTTGATCGGGATAAGGCCGGGAGGAATCGGGCGTCAAAAGGAAAAGGGAAGAGGGGCAAGGGGGCTACGGGACCCTTAGATAAGGCCAACCCATGGAAATGACCTTTGCGTTTGAGACTTGGAGTGTAAATGAGAAAATGGAGTGCAATCTTGTCAAGGGAAATGTGAAGTTGTGTGTGCATGCATGTAAAGGCCCCGAAAAGACTAAGGGGCCTGCGTCGACAAGGTTGAATGAGAAGTATGAGACCCGATGGGTGTGTAGAGGCGAGGGGGAGGGACGGCTTCGCCGCACCCCGATGACGCCGGAGGATCACGATACTTAGGGAAATGGTGCGCGACCTAAGGATGATACTTAGCCTGCGCACAAGAGAAGAGAAACACTCAAAGAGCCCTTGGACTGCCTGCGCCAAAGGATCACATAACTAAGAATCAAAGAAAAATCAGCGTTGACCGAATAACCAGTGAGACTGCCAACCGGCGTGAGGGCTGAGCTACACCCCCAGTGTCGAAGCTCTCTCGCGTGATGGCCCACCCCCATCCATCTCAAAGCACTAGGTGGGGATGACCCTGGGACGAATGGCCTGCGCCTTGAGCATGAGCGTGAGCAGGCCGAGCCAACTAGGACCCCCAGTGGGGTCGACCAAGGCTCGAAAGTCTACTGGGGTTTGGCCCTATACCGGTACGAAACCCTGTTCCCTCTTACTCCTGCAGCCCATGCCACCCACATTATACCCCTCTTCCCTTTCGACTTGTTAACCAGTTATCGGCCCCGTCCCGTCCTTCATAGATTTCAACATTGCTTCATGATTTTTGGCAGCCGGGACGTTGCCTTCTAGAGGGAGGGGATAATGTTACGGACTCCGCCACGGCTCGATCCCTGGTCTATCTTTTGTCGTTTTGGCTGCATCCCGTTTTCAGCCAGGCACCCTTTTCCCAAACCCCTCCTTTGGTACCGTAGGATTTTGGACAACTGGCGCCATGCTGCAATTCGGGCGCCACTTCCAAATACCGCATTTTTCAGTTCTGCCCTCGGGGCCTTTTCAAAAATGCCCCTGGTACCGTATGCATCACCGGTACTTATACCGGCCTCCCGTACGGTACGGGGACCAGTCTCATACCAGTTTTCTGTTGTTGTACTCGTACTCAGTGTGACTTGCTATTTCGGCATTTGGAATCCAAGACTTCGACTTTGTGCCTTGCCACTGTGTCTGCGTCCGACCCTCGGTCCGAGTCAGTCGTGTCGAGTGAGYGAGTGTGTGTGTGTGCTCTCACTCTCTCCCTCTCTCTCCCCTCTCCCTCGGCTCACCCTCAGCCTCACGCCCGTCACAAGGACTCCTAAGGGAACAATGTATAGGATCTCCCCGCGGGAGTTGGAGGAGCTGCGCAAACAGTTAGATGAACTCCTATAGAAGGGTTGGATTAGGCCCAGTTCGTCTCCATTTGGAGCACCTATTCTATTTGTCTCCAAGGAGGAGGGAGAGCTTAGAATGTGCGGGGCCTCAATGCTATCACAGTGAAGAATGCGGAGCCACTGCCCCATATAGATGATCTTTTAGATCGGGTGCAGGGTTGCAAGTATTTTTCAAAGATAGATCTGAAGTCCGGATATCATCAGATAGAGGTCCATCCTGATGATCAGAATAAAACCGCGGTCCGGACTAGATATAGGCACTACGAGTTTATAGTTATGCCCTTTGGACTAACCAACGCGCCAACAACTTTTCAGCGTTGTATGAATGACTTGTTTAGGCCGTGGTTAGACAGGTTTGCAGTAGTCTACTTAGATGATATTCTAGTGTTAAGTAGGACCCTCCAGGAGCATGAGGGTCATCTGACGCAGGCATTGGAGAAGCTGAGAGAGGCCGACTTCAAGATTAATGCAAAGAAGTGTGAATGGGCAAAGCCCCAAGTTTTGTATCTAGGCCATGTCTTAAACGGAGACAACATTAAACCAGAAGATAGCAAGATCGCAGCGATTAGAGATTGGCCTACGCCCCGCACGCTGACAAAGTTGCGGTCGTTCTTAGGCCTAGCTAATTATTACAAAAAGTTTGTGAGAAACTTTTCCACCATCGCTGCACCCCTTCGCAGGTTGCTGAAGAAAGTAACAATCTGGAAGTGGGACAAGGACTGTACATCTGCCATGAAGAAACTAAAGCAGGCGTTGATAGAGTACCCAGTCCTTAAGGTAGCTGATCCGTCTTTACCTTTCATCGTCACCACTAACGCAAGCCAATATGGTATAGGTGTTGTATTACAACAAGACGATGGCAATGGATATAGACCCGTAGAGTTCATGTCTGCTAGGATGCCTTCAAAGAAGGTAGCGACATCCACCTACAAAAGGGAACACTACGCTCTCAGGCGAGCACTAGAACACTGGAAACACTATTTGCTTGGGAGACACTTCAAAGTCTATTCAGACCAGGAGACTTTAAGGTGGCTGAAGACTCAGGCCAAGATGACACCTAAGCTTACTAGGTGGGCCGCAAAGTTAGATCAATATGATTTTGAGCTCAAGCCAGTAAAAGGGAAGTACAATGTGATAGTTGCGGACACTCTGAGTAGGAGAGCTGACTACTTTGGAGCGATAGTTCATTATCTGGATATAGGAAGGAGACCTGCAACAAAAAGCTAGAGAAGCGTATGCACAGGACCCTATCTATAGTGACCTCCTCAAAAAAGTAAAGGAGGCACCACAGTCCGAATCAGACTACCGCACTACTGATGGGCTGCTATTTGAGACCGATTGTGCGTTCCTAATAGTGAGGAGATTCATAGTCTGATTCTAGGGGAATACCACGACACCGAGGGACATTGTGGTTGGCAAAAGACTCTAGCCAACCTCATGTGCGCGTGCATATGGCATGGGATGAAGGCCGACTGCATAGAGTATGTTCGCAGTTGTAAGGTCTGCTAGAGAAACAAGACCTCTACTTCTGTCCATTGACTTTATGGACACCCATGTCAAGAGTAGGCACGGCAAGAGCCAAGTCATGGTTATAGTTGATAGGTTTAGCAAGTATGCAATTTTTGTTCTTTTGCCTGAGGAGGCACGCACAAAATTAGTAATTCAGAAATTCTTTGATCATTGGGTCAGTGAACACGGGATTCCGTTGTCTATAGTTAGTGATAGAGACACCCGGTTCACTAGTCAAAACTGGCAGGAGTTGATGAGAGTCTATGGCTCCAAGTTGTTGATGTCGTCTGACTGTCATCCAAAGACTAACGGTTAGACTGAACAAATGAATAAGATCCTGCAGCAAGTTCTGAGGATGAATATTAGAGTCAATAATTAGACCTGATCAAGTTAACTGGGATGAGATGCTCCCAAAGGTAGCCAGTGCATATAACAACAGCATGCATTTAGCCACTTGTCGCACTCCCAATGAATTGCATAAGTCTTTTAGACCACGTAGACCATTTGAAGGACTTAACCGGGATCAGATCCAGAGGCTACCACCCGGTACTAGGGAGTTTGCGTTACAGCACGAGAAAGAGTTAGCTACCGTAGAACCTCCGGAAGGCCCAGCATAGGATGATAGAGCAAGCCAACAAGCACTGTCGCCCGTCACAGTTTCAGGTAGGCTACTTAGTCTGGGTCAAGTGTAAAAATTTGCTCCTAAGGAGAACATCTCACAGAAGCTACTGCCAACATACAGAGGACCGTGGCCAGTCCTAGAAGTCAAGGGCGGAGAGGATGGACCGTCCTACACGATAGAGATTCCAGCACACCTCCACACCTACCCAGTTTTCCATGCGTCGAAGTTGTTGCCCTGCAATACGAGTGATCAGTTCCCATCACGAAGATCCATGATCCCTCCGGATATGGATGGCAAGTTCGACATTGATCGCATAGGAGGGGAAGATGTCTTTAGACCTCACAAAAACCGTACAAAGTCCGATTCTGTTTCCAGGAACCAGAAGACGACCGCTGGTAAACACGAACAGAACTTCTAGAGACCGCTCCTGATATAGTTCGCGCCTATGAGAGAGACAAAAAAGGTAAAGGTCCTGCCTTGGACTGAAATATTCTCGGAGGACCTCGAATTTAGGACGGCGGGAGTGAAACGGTTTTCATCCTTTTGCAGTGGCGGATGTAGATCCCAGGGCTCGATCCCTAGACCTCACTACCTTGTACAGTACCCCTGTGTGTGTTTGAACCCATAACCTGTGTTTTAGGAGCCAGTAGTAGTCTGTCGTAGACCTGTGAGTCCGTCGGGTCTTGAACCGTAGATCTGTCGCGTAGGGGTCAAAGTTTATAGTAGAGAGGTCGTAGCTGCTACATTCCTGAAAAAGTCAAGGTCGTAGCTGCTACAGTTTCGAAAGGCCAAGTCCACAGCCTTCCGGAAGGTCCAGAAGTGGCCTTTCGAAGACTGCCCACAGCAGACCAGACGTAAGTGGGCAAGTGGTAAACCCACTGCACCGAGTCAGCAGTGCGACTGCACTGAGTCGGCGGTACCATCCCATGCAGTCAGCGGTACCCAGTCCCAGTCTCCCCTAGTCCAGTCAGCAAGTACCATGTGGGACTGTGTGCACCAAGGGCCCGGTGGCAAAGGGCAGACCAGCCACGAACAGAAGCATAAATCAGGAGGCAGCATCCAGCCATTCATTCATTCGCTGCATAAGCCATGCGGAAGCGCTGCTACAGCGTCTTGTGCGAAGGTGGTCTGCAGGTTGCCCGAAGACGAAGTGGGCTGAAGGGAGATCGTAGCCTTAGTTAGTAGTGGTAGTGCGGCCATAGCCCCTGTAGGAGGAAGTGAGATTAAGCGTGTGTGTGTGGTGGTATTCAGGGTGATCCAGAGTGAGCGTGTGTGAACAGTGGGGTTGGACACAGTGACGAAGGTTGGGATGTTCAGGCGCCGATGCGCCATAGCCTGTTGAACTGAACTTGCATCTGAACTGTGTTCTTGATTTCCATATCTCTAAGCTTTGAGTGGGCGCCCTGCGCCAGCGTGAATCTCCATCTGTTTCCATGTATGTGAAGTGGAAGTGAAAGCGAGTCTGATTGCATTTTCTACGGGCAATCGATGCCTCCACAGTCCATTGCCATTGCAACTTGCAGCTACCATCTTCCCTCCAACACAACGCACCCTCATTTTGACAGTACATGTGGCATACTGCGTAGCCACACGGGCCCTGCAGGGCCCGTCCCGGACATTCAGCCTAAAAGCCTAAAACTTAGGGCTTACAGGCCCCGTTCGTTTCAGCCTGGATGCTGAAAAACGAGGGCCTGCAGACCCTACCCCGTTTCAGCCTATTTCTGGGTCTTTTCAGACCCAGAGTTTTCAGCCTGAAACGGAGGGCCATTTTCAGGCCCTCATTGTTTCGAC